TTCACCGGCTCCATCGCGATGTTTCACTGTAGACATCGTCCGATGCCAATTTTGTAGACATCGCCCAACCCTAGTTGAAATCACATATTAATGACTCTTACAAGGCCATTTTTTAATCATTTTATGTTAAAAAAGTAGTTATCAGCCACAGTGGGTTCAAGTACAAACATCTTGCTGCTGAAATATTACTTATCTGTAGGTTTTCCTAGTGCACAAATCAAGTGCAAGGGTCATCGGAGTACGTACTTGTACGTGCTTGTAGAGAACATTGTAAAGTCATATTAAGTTATCAAAGCTGCCCTTAAAACAAAAGTTCCATTCATTTCATTAGTAAGTCAATGCACACTTCCACAGGGACAGAAATGATTATAGAGTGCTGAGACACCTTCCTTCCATCCATCCATCCATCCATCCATCAAACTCTTGTCTAACTCTGCATTAACCAGGTTTAAACTGGCTTAATAAAATAATGAAATAAAATAACAAAACACGCACACACAGTATGTAACACAGAGGGCAGCATCAGCCACAGACACTTTGAAAAGACAAGGCACTTACACAACTTTTCTGCTGTAAAAGAACAATGACAGACGTACATGTACTCGCATGACATCCAATGGGCATGACGTCTCTCTACCTCCTGAACTGGTAATAAATGCAAGGCATTCTTCATGTACAGGGGTGATTAAGTTAAGGCAATGTGAATGATACCTCAAATTGTGCAGCCTGTTATTTTCTATATCACTAGATATTAAGTACCTTCAATACACACTCATTCATATTTGAAATCCATGCACGACCCTCATAAATCTGAGCTACTGAGCCACACAGTGTGTTTCATAAAGCGTGACCCTGCCTGTCTTTGAATCCGTCATGCCTGACCCAGGACAACTGCACCAGCCTGCAGTACATATCTAACCAAGCCATCCTCTTAAGCCCTGCCTTCTGAGAAATAGAGAGACAGTCCGTTTTATACAGTCGTTTCAGTTCAAGTTCGGCAGAGGCCATCCAACCAGTAACGTCCATCGAAACAGAGATTAATAAGGGTGGATATGCTCACACACATTACACATATGCTGATCTTGATGTACCCAAATTCAGTAATTTTCGTAACAGCAAGAAGAAAAGAGATTAGCAGGAAAGAGGGAACAGGCATGAACATGACATTTCTGAGATACCAAACAAGAATACCCACTGTTGTCCAATAGGAAATCATTATTCAGGAAGAACTTTATTAGATATGATAGTAATGCACATAATATCAGTTGTGCAAGAGATGTTGTGATTAACAATGTAAACAAAACGGGAGGGAAAAAATA